ATGTCCCGGCTGTTTAGTTCCTTAACAAACATCATTTATTTTACCCAACAAACACATAACTCCAATTGAAGAGGCCGCTGTGTGTTTCCAGTGTGAAACCAAAAGTCAACGCTGAGTTATTTGAAGTTCCGCAAATATCCGTAATGTACTTTGTCACATATACAGTAGGCTACGTAACATAATGTCCCTCCCCTTAGCTCATGACGTACAATGTGTTGGATGGCTAGCCAACAGAAGCACAAGTGTTACATGGTGATTTCACTATATCTTTGCAGACCATTTACATGCACAAAAACCTGTATAACACACTACAGGAAAGGAAAAAACCCAATAGGGCCCTTTTAACATAACTTTGTTGCCTTGATCTAATTAAACTGCGACCTCTAAGTTAAGGTACGTTGACATGTTGATCTCCATCCACAGATAGGACTCTAACGTACACTCCCATTGGTCGTATAGGAGGTTAGGAACATACAGACTGTGTGATGGTGTGGTTTGGAAGATGTGTTGTTCAAGCACTAAGTAACAGTAACGGAGCGTCCACACTACAGCTTCAAAAAAAGCTTGGAGCTGGGCGTGTCTGAAGCTTGGGGATTTTATTCGAGCAACGCGACCAACAACCAATCACATGAATCTCCCGCCCCCGACATATAAAGCAAAAAACCCCGGGGATTTTATGCGAGCAATATATATATATATATAAACTCCCCAAACAGGCGAAAACCTACCAGTTTCACCCACTGTCTCTGCCACCTCCCTCCATGACTGGTTCCTCCGGTTTGTATCCCGGTAGGTGAAGAGGGTCTGGTCATACAAAACCGGGTGATTTGCTACGGCGATAATTAGTTTCTCCTCCATCTTTTTTTGAAATATAGAAATGAACGGCGGGATATCTCTCCCAGCTTAGACGCGGTTTGATTGGTTACGGCTTGAGCTGTCAGATTTTCAGAAACGGGATTTGATTGGCTGGCGCTGGCTACTCCGGCGGAGACGGACCGCTATGCTACCCACAATTCAGTTCGGCGAAAAGCGAGGCAACGTGATGTCACCCCATTCAAAGTGAATGGGCAGACGCGTTGGAAACTGTTTTTGAAGCTGTCGACGCTGTAGTGTGGACGCAGCGTTATGCAATGATATCAAAAAAGATGACATCTCCTCTACTGCTGCATCGAGTGTGAGTGCATTTTGTGAAGACCTTTTCCTGCATTGTCTCTAAATCTGTTTGCACAGTTGACTGCACAACAGCTCTGTTTTTTTCCTTGCAGGATTTGCTTTGTGTGTGTTATTTTTCTACAGAACTGTTGACTGTACACTACCCGGGGGGGAGTTTGGGGGATTGTGGCTACTACAGACTTCACATGCATTCCCTCATTTGGCGTCTCCTTAAAACCATCCACCCATGGGGAACACTGAATCAGTTTCATCAGTCTGCCATGAGGGTTGTGATGAAATAGGGATCTGAGTGATGCCTTTGTGTCGAGGCAGTGAAGTAAACTGACACATATTATTCATAAGTAACCACTTTGTGAATGAATGAGCTCTTATAGCGAGGATGTTGACAATCAAGCAGTAATGTATGCATACGCTTCACGTTAAGCATGCTCACTTTTAATGCATCCATCATCTCCGCCACCAAGGGGAGCATCTTCTCTTTCATGTTGAGATTAGCAGCTTAATGTCAGATGTTGCATGGCACCGCTTCTTAACGGCTGCTACAGGTATGACTGCAGGATTTATTCATCGTAGACCCCCCCCCCCTCATTTTACTCTCACTCGATGCTCACAGCACCATATTGATCCAGTTTAAATGGAGATAGTGTACAAAAAAGAACCAGAGTGTTGCTGCAGTTTGTCTCGTCTTCATGGTGTCACTTGTTTCTTGCTCGGCTGCTTGAGTCATGCGAGGACAGCGCCCGGCCCGGCTTTGATGAGTGGACAGCAGCAGCAATAAAACGTGGAGAGTCATCCAATTCAGACCATAAATAAAAAATATCCCACCCTAAATCAGAGATAATGGTTAGAGCCTTTAACTTATGTAGTGATGAACGTCTAAGGGATTTATTTTGTTTACAGGCTGAGCAGATACTCGTATTTAAGGCATCACACTCATACTTGTGCATGACATCACAATTATGAAACGGAATACATCTGCAGGCTGTTTGAGAATGAGCAAGCATGTATCACGTTGTTTAGTTTCCTCCCATGCTGTAATGTTTCCTGTTCGGCTGAAGACAGAAATATATAACAATCTTTATTTATGAGTGTTATGATAAGTCGATACAGCAGCAAGCCTCTCCAGTATCCGCTCTCTCTTTTGAGTCTCCTCTTCAAAGCGAGGGACCAGTCCACACACTATGCAGTCCTCATAAAAGAGCCAGTACTCTCTTAACTTTAGACCTAACCCTTACACACTTGAGGGATGTTGTCTTGGACTTAGGTCAATACACTCCCTTCTCTTGTATAATACGGGTCCTTCACTCATACTCAAAGGGCTGCTACTCTTATTTCCTCACAACACAGGCAACAATATAAAGAAATAGCGGACTGGGAGCACCTCTGACCTTCCGATAATGGCAGCAGCAGCACCGCCTCCTCCCTATCACAATTCCTGTGCTTTTAGTGTCCAAATATGTACTTCAATCTCCACAGAGAAAATGACCCTACCTCCACACAAAGACTGACACATAAAAGTTCAAATGAATCGCCTCGCTGCAGCCAGTCTCTCCGCTTGTATTGAATTTATTTGATAAATGAAAAGTAGACTCATCTCAGATATTGGATAATCTCTCTGGCCCTCCGCATGACATCTGCGCTGTAGTGTATACCAATGAATTGCCTTATATTGCAGCTCAGTGTGTGTTTTGATCAGGTACTCAGCGTTCTTTTCTATGTGAGAGCACACGGGAAGTGTATCATGTGGCTCTTACACAGCAGCATCAGCGTATGAGGACACTCAAAGCTCTCATAACAATTTTAATGAGCAGAAAAAAAGGCTCAACGAGGGAGAGGAGAAATATTTGTGTAATATCATAGAGACAAAGGGTACTGGAATATTTATTGTACCGTTTTAAAAGAACCGCAGGACCAGTGAACGCATAAAGTAATAAAACAAGGGCTATCCTCGGCTAAAGAAATTCTTAGATGATGAACAATCAACATGTCGACAAATTAATAAAATATCTGTAAAACTTAGTTCTTCCACAACAGTTAATGCAAAAGCAGCACTTTAAATGCTGTAGTTGCCTAATTTTCTTGGACATAAGTTAGTTTTCATGAAAAAAATGACTTATAGAAATCATTGTCGACTATGATCAAAATTACACATTTGTCGAGTAATCAGCAAAAAAAGAATTGTACATTGATTCAGTGCTTCTAGAGAAAACATAGATCCTTATCGATCCCACAGCTATACGGGATAACTACTCAACTGAGTCATTTATTTCCATTGATGTATCCCTGTTATTCAAATTACTCCACCAGCATTCACACATTTGTACATCTGCAGTCACACTTTTGAAAAGCACTCCTCACATCTCCTCCTCACAGTTCTGCACCGTGGCAGCAGCTCGCACACACACTCCAGAGCAGATGCAACACAAAGTTTGAGCGGCTCCCCGGGGATCTAATTGTGTGCAAATTGCGAGGCTATGTGGTAATCTGCTGCACTTTCATGTAGCTACTGCTGCTATGGGGCCACCTGGGGTCCACCGCGGGTCTGGACCCCTTCTGGGACTCAGCAAATCATTACATACAGCTCACTAGTGACCCCTGCACGCAGCCCTCATCTTAAACAGCCCTATGGATGTGACATATGGACCAGTGGCATCGTAGTCGAAATGCCTCCATGTTTGACTTTTCATCCTGGCTAAATCCAAAGGGAAAAGACCTGCCCTTATATCTAAATTGCAGATTAATAATGATTAATGCCAAGGCAGATTGGGATTTGATTATTCTAAGTCTCATTAAATCCTAGAAGGAAATGTCAGAGTGCTCTCTAATGTTCCTGTGAGGACGGGAGCATGCCAGAGTTCAGAGAGATTAGTGTCAGTGTCTTACCCTGCATGCTGATGGTGACGTGAGTTATTCCTCATGATCTGAAGCATTTGAAGAATGCAAAACACATGTTTTTTTGTTGGCACATTTCCAAAAAGCTTAATCATTTGAATGTCTCCAGAGCTCATAAGTGCATGTTGCATTTGATGACCGTTAACCTCGAAAAACCCAGTGGAAATTACACATTTGACGGGAAGTTAAAAGGGTATTCAATTTACATAATGAGGTTTTAGGTTTTTATCTGCCACTGATGGGAAATAAAAGCATGCCTGAGGTTTTATGAAGTCGTCTTTAACCCCGGCCACTTCTTACAAGCACCGTAGATAATGCCAGAAAACATTACTGACCTTTGACATGACTGTATTATAAGTTGTTCCCTGTAGGAGGCTCAACACAAGTCGCTTAAAATGATGCTAATATGTTAGAATATTACCTCAAAGTTGCACATCAGCACTTATACAGGAGATGAGGATGTTGTATAAACTTCTAGAACAGTCCATGAGAGCTGAAATACTATTAGTGCTGTAAGAATTTAGGATAATTAGGGTCTGATGTCTCTATTCATTCATAATGCATACCCACAGTAATGCTACAACTGGAAAAGTTTTTACAATAAAAAACTAAATCTCACTGTTAGTCTCAATTTCTATCAATGAATGCTTTAGTGGATATCTTTAGATTAGTTTTTGTTGCAATACACTGCACATCTCTAATATAAAAACAGGTTTCTTTTACGCAAATGGTGTCACAAATGCTCTATGTTTTTAGATCTATGGAGGCTGTAATTGACGCGATATTGCATCAAGCCATTCTTCTTTATCCTGTGACATTATGTAACAAACTTATGGATAGAATAAAATGCTTCAACAGCGGGGTTTTTTGTAATTGATCGAGTTTTGTGCATTTTGAAATCAGATCGGCTGTATTGAGAAAACATCACAACTTACCTTGACACCAAATTGCGCCTCTGAACGTATAGGATCCAGTGACTGTGAAAGTCGAGTTTTGTCCTCGGAGAACCCCCCCTACTCCGGTAACATTAACCGCTCCTGTGAAGTTTAAAGCAGATTAAATTAAAGTACTTCTTCTACATCAAATTCTTGCGCTCCTGCAGCCTGTAGTACTGTAACATCTGTTGTGCCTGTGAGTGTCGAGCTCTGCGCGAGGAGGAGGAGAGGCGAGGGGGAGGAGACGGGTGGGGGGGGGTGTTTAGTGTCCAGAGCGCACAGCGGATAGGACAGCACGCGCAGGAAGAGAGGGTCAGAGAATGAGCGCGAACAAACCCAACTAATAAGGTCTGTTTGTATCAACGTGCGGTAATTCAGCATATAGTGGAGCTATTTCAGGGTCATAAGTTTTGATCATTAAAAAAAAAATACAATTTATTTGAAAGTTCAAGTTTTTATCCTGAACTATGAAAAATACAATGATGTATTCAAAATAAAAATAAGTATTTGAAATAATTTTTCAGGTTGAATATTATATTGATTCAGTTCAGCAATTTTTTTGAATAAAATATTTATTTTCAGATTTCACTTTTATACATATTTTGATATTTGAATCCTTATTTTTTTCAGTTGCAGATTTTTCCTTTTCAGATTCAAAACAATTATTTTTTCAGTTTCAAATCTTGTTTTTTCAGGTTTCTCATGGCTTTTCACCTTCAGATCGTTTTTCGCTTTCAGATCGTTTTTTTCTCGCTTTCAGACTTTTGGCCCTGGTGTTGCTTGGCGGGGGGGGGCTTAGCAAAGAGTATTTTGGCTTCCTGAGTGACAGGCCTCTGTCATGAGAAATATAACTCAACACTTTCTATACACAATACTCCCGTGATTGGTGGGAAACCAAACTGATACCAGCGTCAAAGTTATGTTAAGCTAGCTGTTGAGCATCGTAGTTGGCAAATATCAAGGTATATAAGAGCAATACACTGTGCTAGAATGTGAAATTACGTATCCGCAACGAGCCAGCAGGTTGTTCTGGTGGACCTGACGCCATCCCCCGCTGTCTCACGGAGAGATACATACCGCAGGTCCTTCCTTCCTGCAGCGGTCAGACTATAGAACCAGCATAGCCCCTAGACGTCCCACAGGGGATACATTTACATTGTTACAGCAGAGAAGAGCCAAAGACAGCGTAATGTTACCTAAAGCATGCATAAAAAAGTATTAAAGATTAAAAAAAGAAATTATATATTTTTTTTAAGTTACACATTTTACATAATACACACCCTGTAACATTTCTGTGGATTTAGCAGCCATGTATTGCACAGTTTTTAACGGCATATATATATATATATTGCACATATTGCAAATATTGCACATAGTTGTTATTTGTTAACAAGAGGTGTTATAGTCTGTGTTGTTTTGTGCGGGGTCTAAAGGTATTCTGATTCTGATGCAAAAACCAAGCCAATACAATAGGCGCATTCACACTGCGGTACTTTTCCCACAAAGGTTCATGTGAACTTAGTTCATGTGAACTATTTAGTTCGCATGAACTAAGTACAGATCGCGTTCACACTGGAAAAAGTCCGTGGGGGTGGATTAGGCAAATGAAGCCGCTGACGTCAATTCTTCTTCTTCTGCTTTGGGTTTACTGGCAGGCCGCAAACCACTTCACGGCGTATACTGCTGCCGCCCAAAGTCCCCGGCCGGAAGTCCCCGGAGTTGGGGACTGGCTTCAGTAGAAGCTGCTGGGACTCCCAGCAGCTTCTACTTTTTGGGAGTTTTACGGGGCGTGGTTTGCAATCCGCCCAGCCAATCAGAAATATAGCTCTTTTCTCACAAGAGAGCCGCACGAAAGTCCCTGCTCTCTAGCAGGGACTTTCGTGGGGGTAAAAAGGTTCACATGAACTAATTTTAGTACCGGCTCTTTTTGGTGTGAACCATAGACTGTATATATAAATGGACGTAGGGTCCGTGACGTCACCCATAGGATTCTGCAGTTGCCGTGAAGCCCTTAGTAGGCGGAGTCGGCCACTAACGGCTCGACAGTGACGTCAGAGTTCAACTCCCGCCTGCTCCAAATAAGGGCAAAGAGGCGGAGCCGAGGTGGGACCTGCTGCCACCGAGCTGGAAGTTCCAGAGCTAGCTGAAGCTACCAAGCTAAGCTAACATGCTCCCCGCCGTCGCATTTTACGTTTCTAAGGTAAGCGGACATGAAACTATTCAGCAAAACTATAAATAATAATCTAAGTTATTGAGTTTTTAGCATAATACTTCAGAATCTTAAAACCCCTTAACGTTTGTATGCAATTGTGCTAAATTCAACACTGGAATCAAGCAAATATTAATATGTTTGCATGACATTAGTTATTTATATTTTGATATCACTTAACTATACGTTTAATACATTTAAGTCAAGCTAAGGTACATGTGATGGTAGCTAGTTAGCGCTCTTACCTGTGAGGCCTCCTCCAAACAGCATAATAACCAGACTATCATTAAAACTAAGTACCAGTTATAGATCCTTGACTTTAGACAAACAATTCAAAAGACAAAATGTATTTAAAGACCAATCTTTATTTGAATGTGCCTCTTAACCTGAGATATTAGTTATACAGTAATTGACAATCTAACAAAACTGAGCAACTCAACAGTCAACTTTATGTTTCTTATTGTCTAAAGCATTTATTATTTTCATTTTCCCCTCTCATATTCAGTGTGGACGGATTGAGACAGTCTGGTGTCCAGAGAGCTGCAGAGACTTCAGGGAGAAACCTCCATGTGATGGACGTCCTGTCGGTTGGTTTGGAGAGGACTGAGGGTCTTTCCTCTGCGAGGGGGACCAGGCCTGATGGAGGAGCCCATGCTGGGCAAAGCTGATACCAACTGCACAGGCCTAGTCGGTCACTTTATTTGACTAAATGTGTTTAATACATTTAATAGGTTTACACCTTCTGTCCATATGTGCTTTTTATTTAAAACATTTGATTAACTTTTGGTTCACATTTCAATAAATTGTATTTGTATTTGCACTCCTTTTGTCCATTATTCTTACTGAAAATGTTAGATTACACATTCACATCTGACTGAAGATTGGCCCCATTTATTTGTGACGTTGCAAAACAAGGTACATGTTGTGAAGCTCATAAAGTGAGGCAAATAGAAATAATCAGCTGATGGAGTGTAGATGTGGAAATAGCTGCATTCGATCAGCTGACTGTTTTTACAATAAAAGTAGTTTCTTAGTGAATGTCCTGTACTGGTCTTAAAATCTCATAACATCAGCTTTTAATGTTCCTCTTGGATGTTCTTCTTGACCCTCAGAGCAGGAGAAAATGTCCTGTCTTTCAGGCATGTCCTTTCCTAACAAAAATGACAGGAAACATAAAACATATTATTGCAGAAAAAGTGTGTTATTTATGAAAGTGGTGTGTTTGTGTGTTTAGGGGCTGTCGATATAATTATTTTGTAATTATAATGTTTGTTTTTTATTTCAACAATGAGCTACAAAGACAATCAGATTATGAATGAACAGTATGAAGTTCATCAACATTGAAATATATGTTATCAAAATAATATTGAACTGTTATCAAAACGTAGTGCAACTGTAGAAGCTTGCTCTGTTGTCTCACTGAAAGAATAACTTTTACCACGTTTTTTACAGACAATATTGAGAGATAAATAGTAGCAGTTCTCACTATGTGTTAAATATCTTTGCCTTCAATACATTAAATTAGAAAGCTGACAAAGTCATATTGCTTGTTAACAATAACATCTAAATGTAACTTTTTGCATGGATAAAACCCTCAACTTAACTGATGTGTAGGTGATCTAGTATTTAATATTGTTTAATGGAATGTATATCAGTGTATTCAAGTCAATACTTCATTCATTTAAACCAATATCTTTCTTGATTCTTTGTACAGTATGAAAAAAAGAGTCTTTGTACCTGTGCTGAAGTTCACTGCTGTGAGGAGTCCAGTTATGTCTCTCTCACACTCTCTGGTCCAGCCTGTCTGCATCACCTGGACACCTTAAACAAACAGATATATATATATGTATGTAAAGTACCATGTGTACAAACAATATAACTGATTCTCTTCTGTTGAACATGTCGGATTGTGTATTGTCCGAGTCAGGGTCCTTTTTATTTTACTGTAACTTTGGAAGTTGTGTTACCAATGCTTAGTGTTTATTTGATACCCATTTGGTTAATGAAATTAATAAAAACAACAAGGTTTGGGTTCGTTCTTCAGATGACTGTGACGTTAACGTGTAAGCTCAATAATGCTCCAGCTCAACCAACCATATTGTAATATCTAACTAATCATCTTGAAATATGACATTAATTGTAATATACACACATCTTATTGTGAGGTTGATTTCACATACACTACTTCGACGTTAGCTTGTCTACATACTTGAGCATAGCCAATTTAAATTAACCTTAGCGATGCATACAGTTCTACCTACATAATAAAATATCTCTCTAAGTTACAAGGATGACCATATTTTATCAACCTCAAGCAGAAGCCGTTTGTTCTACAGTATTATCTCACTTAACGCTTAACACTTGTCTATTTCGTTCTAACCTTTATATACAGTCTATGATTTTAACTTGTAGGCTACGATTAGCATCGTTAGCACCGATGTAGCTACCACTCGTTTACAACTAAACCAAGCCTTAACATTCATTACGTAGCCGATTAAAATCATTAACACATAAATAAGTACTCGAATTTCACTTACCGCAAAACCGCATTCATGCACCGTCTGTTTTAACCGCAGAGCGAGTCACAATAGTCCGATATATAAGCATGAAGAACAAACAACCACGGCCGGCTTCAAGTTGTGTTCCCTGGATGAACTCTGAGCAGGCAGAGTCCCTATAGCTTCACGGAGCAGGTAGCAGAGAGACAAGAAACTAGCAGCAGCAGTCACTTGACAGAGCCGTCACTCAATGTGACCACGCCCTAATTTATGCAAAAACGTTAAGACCTAATATAAATAAAAGGGTCGTGTTAGAAAACAATTCACTCACAGATCCATAATCATGAAGGTTGAACCTAACTATATTCATAATAATATTTATCCATGGGTAGAAACATGTTTTTTTCTGCTGTAAAGTTGGGCATTTTAACATGGGGGTCTATGGAAATTGCTCCTTTCTGCAGTCAGTCCCTATCGGCCAATATATGAACTGCAGTGTGTGGCACTTCCGTATTGGCGTCCCGGCTCTTCCCC